GATCGGGGATGAGTCATCTTTCCGCAACAAAACGAGGTCCAGCAATATTTATACTTCAGATTTTTTGACAATTCCCTCGCTAAGTAGTATAGTTTATTACCATTAGGTGTGAGATGGTCAGAGATAAAAATAGGGATACATGTTCTCTTTAGACCAAGGTTCTGGGTATTTAATTTATTATTCTTATTATGGTTATTTTACTTTTTAGCGGCGCTCGTAATGTTCATTTTCTGGCTTTTTATCGCCCTTTATGGTCGTTCTGTATATATCCTTAATGTCATTACTTTGTATATTAACCTTAAGTGATGTAGATAAATTGCTTACCATACTCAACAACATTTCTTTGGATTCCTTTTCCGATCTTGGGACATTTTTCAGTTCAAATGTACATTTACGTTGGGCTTTCATGAGATTTTCCACCTTATTTTCAAGTATAGTAATATATTCCTTCTGTTTATGCCTCTCTTGCTCCATAAGGTCCACTTTTTTACACATGTCGTATTTGGTTGAGAGAAAGGTCAGCGATTCCTCAGTGGATCTCAACACAGATGGTATTTCTGTTCTTTCACTGTTTTGCTGATCCATCCATGAAGTAATCATTTCTTTCATTTCTGCCTTAAAGTCCGCTAAATCGTTCAGAATTTCTTCGGAGCACTTTTTCTTAATTCGTGAGCTGACAAAACTGGGAGGCGATGTTTCTTTGTCGACGGGGATCTTAGGCAGGTTGGAATCAGAATTGCATTTTTCTGGTGTTCGAAAACATTTTCAGAGCTCTCGTATGGCCTCAGACTTATTTTCCGCTCCACGAAGTGTAGAACAAATTGATAGTTTATTTTATAGTCGAGAGTTACGGCGTCTATTATAATGAAAGAGTTAAGAAATAATTTGTAGGTTCCTCTTTTTAGAGAGCATATTCTATTTTTTACTTTATTCATTTATATTTTGGCGGTAAAGTTGGAAATTTTAATAAACCTAAACTTTGACCAAACAAAAGTCAGTTACAGTCGTATCGTAGCATGTGCGTTGCGCAGGAGATGATTATACTATACTAGCTGTTCCCCGCGACTTCGTTCGCGTGAAATTTATTACGATTGAATTCCATGAATTAGAATTTTTTGCGAATGACCCCAATTCTTTATCTAAAATAAAAATAAGACTATGTTACTCCTTAACATCAGCCATTTGCCAGTGAAAGAAACGGAAACGGAAGGTGTCCTTGGAACCGGGCGGCAGGAAACAAGTTTCAGGACGCCGATAGTTTAGGTAATTTCTTTTTACAGTGAAAATAATGGTAATTTAAAAAAAATAAAAAACACAAGCCCTGCGATATGGTTAGTTCAGTTAGTATGCAAAGTTTCATGATCCTATTTAAAGTATTTTATGAATAACAGCGGTTAATTTTTCAGTTTAGAGGTAACTTTGGATTTTTTTCTATCGAGAAAATTTTACGGAATCATGTTTTCGTCTAACATAGTACTTAACATTAATCCTCAACTTTACCATATATTTATTTCAAAATTAATGCTGCAATATTTTCGGCATAACGGAGGATCTTGCTAAGTCATTTGAGGTTATATTGCCCCTTAAACGTGACAGTATCCGGGCAATCAACACCATCGCGTAAAATATCGCATAGAAATCCCATATCTAACAGTTTTCGTCTTTCTTCAATCATAAGAAGGTTATAGTGTCGGCAGTCATCTAAATATGATGAGCTTTTATGTTTAAATTTATAATTCAGGTATGAAATACATTTACGTTGAATTCTTCCAATATTGTTAATGTAAATTTTAAATAACGGTGATTTTAAGACTTAGAAATTCCGTAAATGGAAGACATGTTCACATGACAAATCTAAGATTACGAAATGATTTACTACATACACTATTGATATGATCAATAGTTTTGTTGCCATCTAATGGAAGCATTTTTCTGGCATTCCTCATAGTCACCTTTAACGACGACACCACGGCACTAAATGAGATGATAGCCGCCAAAAACAATATATTTTTATGATTAACATATAATAAACAAATAGCAAAGAATTTTCCAGATTGGATTAGTGGTGGGGGTTGATTCAACAAATTAGTTAAATAAACCGTTTTTCTATGTTGTTTATGAACTGAATGTAAAAAGTTTTTTTTATTAATTGAAATTGAAGTTACAGTTTCTTTACGAGACGTAGGCGCTGTAACTTTGGCTTTCAGGCTTAGTAATGAAATTCGGCGCTGAAGGTCGTGGTTGCGAATCCTGTAAAAATAATTTTTACTAATAATTTACGTAGTCTACAACGACTGATTTTATTTCAATATATACAAAAACTTAACGATACTCCTTTTTGTTTGTATTTATCTTGTGCCATGCCCTTTTTTTTGCGTAAAGCAAGCCAAGCCATATTACTTAAATTTACGCGAACACTACACATAATTTACACATAAATGTCAGAGGACTCACAGACAAGGTTGGCTACATCTTGAAGCGAACTTCCATTAAAACATACTACAAGCCGCCGAAGAAGATTAGTCAATTCTTACCATCCATCAAGTGTAATATTCCTCTACAAGACGCAGGAGTGTACAAGCTAGATTGTGAATGTGGTCTCTCTTAGGTCATAGGTCAATGAAAAAAATCTATAAAAACCCGCGAGAAAGAATATATATCTGACGTGAAGCACCGACGCTGCGGGAAATCTGCAGGTTGTGAATATGGTAGAGATCGTCCCCACCATTACATCAGGTTTGATAAACCACAAGTCCTCGCAAAAGAAAACCGATTCCTATCAAGGATGATACGCAAGGCTATTGAAATTAAAAAACATCCTAATTTCAATAGAAAAGATGGATGGGTGCTGCCATCTGCTTGGGATCCTATAATTAACAAAATTAAACCCAAACCCAAGCACACCAATGCAAGACTTCAAAATACAGTAAGCTAGTTCTGCGTAGATGGAACCAAAAATTAATATTCTAAAACTGAAGGTAGCCGGGATAACTGTGACATTGGGATGTCAAACATCTCAGTCCTCCCCGTGACCATGGGTACTGTAAAGCACCCGAAACGTCGGGAATTAAAAATAACTTAAGATAAGTTGATTAAACGATTGAGCGTGTGAATCTCACACTACATACAGTCTCCGAATGGGGCGATGCTAATCTTGTGAAATTCAACGCCTCCAAAACACAAGCACACACCTTGGCAGCTTCTTTCCGAAATGTTTCACTGGAATGCACTTACCGTCTCCAGTTGCTGGGGGTTGAGATATCCTTAAATCGGACTCTGACTTCGGGCGGTTCGTTGAGTCCAAGGCCAAAGCAGCTGCAAGGAAATTAGAAGTCTTTGCAAAGGTGCGGCGATACTTCACGCCGGGACAGATGCTTACTTTATATAAAGCGCAAGTCCGGTCGTGCGTATTACTGCCATATATATAAAATGCCACCTAGCAGCTTTGGACTCAGTGGAAAGGCGTGCTGGGAGGCTTATTGGTGACACGAATTTGGTTAATCTTACCAGCCACGAACACAGGCGCAAATAGCCAGCCTTTCGGTCTTCTACAGATACATTTCGGCGAGTGTGCGCAGGAATTGCATAATTTAATTCCTCCCATCCCCACCATCGAACAACAACACATTCGGCCAGTCTGAATCTGGTCTGACAACGCATTCGAAACAAACGGTTTGCTACGTCGTTCATCATGCGTACAGCAAAGCAGTGGAATAATTTGCCAACATCTGTCTTTCCATTCGATTACAATGTGGGTGTCTTCAAAGCAAGAGTGAATAGATTTTGTTAAGTCAGTGCGCTTCACCATCTTAAGCTACATCGCCCCTTACCATCAGGTGGGATTGCGACTAAGTGCTGGCTTAGAATATTTTTTTTTAAATTTGACAAGCGATCTTACTGTCCACCTTATAGTAAGTGGCTACTGCAGTCAATGACCCCCACAACCAACTTCAAACAAAGAAGGGTTCAGATACGTGGTCACCTCCGAGTACTGACATGAAACGCCTTGCAGCCTGTAATTAATCATACCGGCTCTCATTTGGCGGCATTAATAGCTGGAAGTTTGGTAATCACCCAGACGGTCTCCTGGGCAGCAAAGGGTTCCTCACCTAATTAGTAGTTATCTTTTATAAATAACAGAATTAAAGTGAAATTATCGGTTGAAAACGCTTTTAAATTTCGTCCCTTGCTCCAAAAAGCCGTGGTAATGCTTGATAACGTAAAGATAACTTATTAATTAAATAATATCTCGTATGGTCCTGTCCTAAATACGCTTGTTCTGTACGAAAGTGACACAGAAGCATTAAGCTGCTATTATGCGTTGGTATTCTGTGAGAGCGTGGTCCTATTACGTTCGAGCCGTCGTTCGTGCTACAACCTTAATATAGCTGCAGCGTGGCCCTAACATGAATAAACGCAATTTAAATTCCTGTAAAAAATTCTTGAAAGCGATTTACAACAAAGTAATAGGTAATAGATAAGTCGGTATAGATAAGCCGACCTATCTATTACTGTAACAAGCATCATGTATTAAATATGAAAAATTTATAACCATCATCGCTGTAAGCAGTCCATGGCTAATATGCTTCGGATAAATTGCCGTAAACGTCGATGCCCTTGTCATGATGCGATTTGAAACTCAACGTCAGTGGTTCAAAGGTTACTTTTGCTTGAGTAGGTTCTCGGTAGACATTAGCCGCATGCAATTTGTAAGTCGTGCATTTGAAGGTGATATGAGGAAAGCTTTTGGAAACACATTTATTGTAACATTTATATCAATATTTTATTGCAAGTTCCAGGAGAAAATAAGTTCCTAGTTTGGGAAAGACATCTCATGAAAACAAACTTTTCGGAACCTTAGAAGTGGAATCTTAGGACCATTCATTCCCATTTTTGCTATTTCAAATTCGGCTGTTGTTTATCCCGGCGGAACATTAACACCCAACACCCAAAAAATATGAATACCCAACTTTATATATTGTGTTCGAAAATTGATTAAAATGTTTACAGTTACAAGGTACAAGTTATTTATTTTATATAATAGTTTTAGTTTTAGTTTTGTATTTTATATATTCTTCACAGGCAAAAACGATGATTTTTTTGCATTATTGTTTTTATACGCGGTGGACCACGTTGCAGACATATTATGTTGAGAGATGGAGATCCTTTTAACTGGAAACGAGGCATTCCATCTAAGTCTCAGGGATGACAGTGCTTCTGCATTTTTATTTTTAACCGAGGATAGATGTAGATTTCTATGGGCTACAACATCCACATACCATCAGGTCATCTGCGTGGTCATTTGTCATCATTATACTATAAAGAAGTAACCGCCATCAGCCAAATTTTAATAAATGGCGATTTTAAGTTCTGATTTAGCACTTACTCATCGGTGAAGGAAAATATTGTGAAGATACTTGCTTATTTGAGTAACTTTCATATTTCAAGACATGTTCAGTCCGCTAACACGCACTGGAGCACTGCGGTAAACTAGTTGCTCCATAACCCCCTCAGAAATAATAATTAAATGGTTAAACGAAATTACCTTAAGTTAAGTTCAACCATAATTATACGAAGCTCCTTGTCCTAGACATTCTTAACAATTGTAGTACGCCGTATTCCATTCCAGCGTCACAATTTATCCAAGCTTGCGAAAAAAAATTAGGGAGCCGTATATATGGCAACACTGTATCAACCCGTCGGTCAATGCAACTTCATTATGTTTAAAGCAAGGAATTAGATGAGCAACCCTAACCCAGGGAGGGTTGGGCCGGGAGTACCGTCTAGGACAAGGAGCTTCGTGTAATTATGGTTGAACTTCACTTAAGGTAAGTTCGTTTAACCATTTAATTATACTCTCTCCTTGTCCTAGACATTCTTAACAATTGTAGATGTTTGAAGACAGGGTTGCGAATTTATAATACCAATGAATGGAAAATTTGCAATTTCCCTTACTCTATAAAAATGTTGAACATATTGTCAGTATATCATAAATTTAAATTAATAACATAAAATAAATTATTTTTATTTTTCTTTATACACATAAGGCCAGCTTGATTGCAGCCGAAGTGGCCCTGTAGACGAACTATAACTGAAAAAGAAGCAATCTGGAATATCTATTTCAGTTTTATTTGTAATAAATTTTAATTTAACATCTTATAACCTAAAAAATACTTTTCTAAGTGGGTTCTTGTGAGTTAATGTTAAATTTATCACTATCTTGTGTTCTGTTTTCTATTAAAATATTCACAAGAAAAACTCAACCCCTTGTCATTTATTTTTCCCATGCAAACCCCGTTGAAGTAAAATTCTATCTATATCTTAACTATATATCTGAGCTCCCCTTTGAATATATGTAATATTTGCTGAAGGACAATGTATATTGTAACCTGTAACTCATCACAGCTCAGCTTGTTACTAGTTTCTGTAAATTTCTGTATTCTCAATGTTTATTGCAATATTCCGCTGTTAAATAATCAAAAAGTAATTTATTATTTTATAACTCAAACTTAAGTAAAAGGCAAAAAAGCCCAGTAAGGAATTTTATTACACTTAAAACAATTTGGTACTATAGAGAATTAATAATTTGATTATTTTATAATTTATAGTATTTTTAGTAGGTTTTGGATACAAAACATTTGATTTTACACTAAACATATTTAATTTTTACAACAAAAGTTTTAAAAACACACCGTGACGGCTGGCACAAAAAGTGTTGCCATATATACTGCTCCCTAAAAAAATTTTTTTTAGCAAGCTTAGATAAATTGTGATGCTGGCATGAAATACGGCGTACTAAAATTGTTAAGAATGTCTAGGACAAGGAGAGCGTTAAATAACAGTTTATTTCAGATACACATCCAAGTCCACTTTTGAACATAGGCGTCCCCCACCTCATACGGACATTTGCCATAGTTGCCACGCTTACCAAGCGGGTCGGCAGTTTTTTTATCAATTTATGTCTTTATTAGGAAGACGCTGCTGCCCATCTCCTGATTTGTTTCCCTGCGTCGCCACTTACGACACCCACCCGGAGTGGATCACCGCCATTATACAATTATTAATTACCATTATTTTCGGCATCCCATAACACCAGGCACATGCATGTGCATACGCATCCAGAGCTTTAGGACGTAACAATCAAATTTACCAGATATTGCCCTCAGAAATAAGAGGCCTGTCCCCGGCCGTGGGATGTCTGTGCACTGCAAATTTTTGTTTTACTTTTTAGGCCTACTTCAATTTCAATAAAAGAAAGAGTATACTCTCATTAAAAATAATTATAGGTTCAAAGGGTTAAGAAATGTATAGATAACAAATTAAGAAAACCAAGAGAGAGTTAAAATAATTAATTAAAAAAAAATAATTGTGTTTAAAAGTAAGGATATTCTTTAGCAACAACATTATTTGGACGATGTAGGATGGCCGTTTTATCCCCGACTCCGATGATTTTATTACAGACCTGATATCTGTCCTGATGAGAGGTCAACGTCAACAAAACATCAGCAACATTTGAAATTCGCGTAGGCAAAGTAACCAGTTGTATCAGACCATATGCCAAGGAAAAATCTTGAACAGATCTCCCCGCATGATCGGTTAAACGTGAACCAAGCCATACGGCGTGGTGGGCATTTAAATCGCCGAGGATCACGATCTTTGCGGAGAGTTTCTGCTGTAGCATAGAATCTGTAGGCATTTGGAAGTGGTCGAAGAGTCGGTCCATTTTGGCAGTATTGCTACGGGATCTATAGAAGCACCCGTAGACCCGTAGCCAAAGAATGGACAGTTCCGAACCTTCAAGACTGCCGAGGTGTGTATACTTTTCCTATTTAATTTACGAATAAGGCAAAAATATAGGAAAATCTATTGAAAGATGTTGCGTATAATTCAAGCGTGGAAATAAAAATGTCAAGTGGTCATCTTTGGCCCCTTTATACTGTGCCAAATATGAGAGTAAGTACACTCATATGTTCTGATTTATTAAAGAAATGACATCCCTATTGTAGTAGTATTATGTGTGACGTTACTTTACAAGACTACGTCCTTAAACAAAAGTGATTTCGTTCGCAACGTTAGCTACAATCGACATCGATATACTCGTTTTTCTTTAGTTACTTATTTTTATTACTTTATATGCTTGAAAATATTTAAAAAGATAGGACTAGACCTATTATTATTCGAAGGATCAAGTAAATTATATTCTTAGCAATTCTTGTATATATATATATAATCGGAATCTCGGACACGGCTCCAGCGATTTTTATAAAATTTAGTGTCCAGAGAGTTTCGGGGGCAATAAATCGATCTAGCTAGGATTTATTTTTAGAAAATGTCTTTTGTCCGTGTTTTCAGGCAATAAAAAAACTGCTACAATATAAGAAGGTAAATTTTGACGCTGTGTTAATGATTGCAATAGCTCAAGTGGATATCGAGCGGTCGCGAAATCGTATTGTCTTGGTTCGCGTCCTGTCTTCAGTCCGATTTTTTTTTCCTTTTTTTTCAAGTTCCCTTCTTATGTGGGAAAATTTATTATTTCGAGCCCTTTTTTTAGTATTTTTTAAAAATACGAAAATTTTAATTAAACTAATTGCACTCATGACTTTTAATTCAAATAACCAGTTCAGTTTTTTTTATATTATGTCAATAAGATCAAAAAATATTGTTCATCAGTATGTAATTTGTATCTAAATGTAATTTCCAAACAAAACCAAGCAAAGCTCGGTCATCCGGGTACTATATATATATATATATATATATATATTTATTATATTATATTACTCAGAAGTTCTAAGATCCCATACAATCCCGTGAGTATCGTAAAATACTACAGAGAGAAATGAAACGTGAGAGGCAACAGTGTCTTCGTGATAACTAATAAAAAATAATAAAAAATTGCGGTTACCAAACCACTTCCTAAGAGGGGGAACTATGGCAAATATTCCCCCTAAGTATAGCAGTGGGGTTTTGATTGGCTGTATTTAATTTAAGAATGATGGATAATATCTTGAAGGAGCAGAGAGAAAACGCGTAATACGTCCGCAATCGATTTATTAGTAGTTGTGATCTAGCGACAAAAGAGAAGGCAGACCGCGGTGGAGCCGCTTACATCACAATACTACTTTACGTAGTAAAGTTACGCTGCAGCTATAACAGTTGTAGCATGAATGGGTTTGGCGTAAAATAGCAGCTTAAGGCTTTTTTGTTGAGTGCAGAGAACCGTTGACTCTTTTTAGTGGAAATGAGGTATTCCATTTTAGTCCTTGACAACGCATCTGCATATTTTAATCTAAAATAAATGTAGATATCTATGGGCCACAGCATCCACTAACCATCAGGGGGACTGTGTGCTCGTTTGGCACACTTATTCCATAAATACAGCTGTCGTAGCACTCAGTGTCCTCTCTGTACGTTCCGTGACACAAACTTAGTGTCGATTAAACATACACAGTTATTATTTCTTGTGAAACCCATACTAATTCTAAGCATAATTTGGCAGAAATATATCGGCTTAATTGAAGTAGATTTCATAGTGAACTTTTCCCGATATATTTTAAATTATACAACGATAGTACGAAATTCTATATTATTCAACTACATTTTATTGTATGATGTCAGATGAAGCTTCCATATACTTGTTGATATAACTAGGTATTACAAACCGGATTAATAAAAATCCTTAATTTTGCTTAGTCATAGACTAAATTAATTTTTCGACAACGTAAAACGTTAAACGTAAAATTTCGCTAACGGCACATCAAAAGAGGTGTCTATGGAATGGAAAAACGGCAACCACCTTGAAACAGAAACAGAAACAGAAACTTTTTTATTCAATGTTGATTATAAACAATATTTATTGAAAGTCAGTTTTTCCTTTACCACTGGTTCGCAAAAAAAACCTCTGTCCTGGGAAGAACCAGCAAGAATGATTTCTTATATTTACGCGAACACTACACATTGAAATAATACTAATTTTTACGGAATTTATCGCGTATATTTAACTTTTTTACCCGACGTTTC